CCTATGATGTCCAGTATCCACCACAAAACCGTATGTGGGATTGGCAGCAAAATCCCAATTTTGTTCCCAAGCCTCACCACTTTGATGACTCTCAAAGTGGAATTCTACCTACCTGTCCCCTTGGAACCACGGCCAATGAACTGGAATTCTTTGAATTATTCTTTGACCAGCCATTGATGGAAATTATTGCCAGGGAAAGTAATAAGTATTTTCAGTACACCATGGCAAATACGATCTTATCACCACAGTCAAGACTACACAGGTGGAAAGAGACGACTGTTGCAGAAATGTATTTGCTTTTTGTAACAATAATGCTTATGCCTCACGTCTATAAGCATAATATAAAAGCATACTGGTCCACAGATCGGCTAATTTCTACCCCATCCTTCAGTGAAATAATACCATTGAACAGGTTTATCTTACTGTTACGTATGTTGCACTTCTCTGACAAAACCAGGCCTGACAGAAGTGACAGGTTATACAAGATTAGAAATGTTTTCATGTATCTCAAACAAAAGTTTAGGATATACTTTTATCCATTCAAGAATCTTGTAATTGACGAGTCTTTGATTTTGTTCAAAGGTAGACTGTCATTCAAGCAGTATATACGAGCAAGAGGAACCGCTTTGGTATAAAATTGTTTGTACTCTGTGATTGTGACAGTGGCCTGGTGTTGGATATTGTTGTATACACGGGTAGTAAAACATTGAAAGATACCAAGATGTTATTGGGTATCTCAGGTGACGTAGTGAGAAACATGATGGCACCTTATCTTGGTAAGGGCCATACATTATATACCGATAACTGGTACACAAGCCCATTACTCAGTGATTTCATGCGAGTGAACAAGACAGATGTGTGTGGCACAGTGCGTTCTAATCGTAAACATATGCCCAGGCTCAACGCAGGTGTTCGTGATGACGTGCAGGTGTTTACTGCCAATGACATCATGGCATTACGGTGGCATGACAAACGAGATGTCACATTGTTGACAACCATTCACCGTAATGAAATGCAAGACAGTGGCAAAGTTGATCGAGTGACTAATGAACGTATTCGAAAACCAGTGTCAGTGATTGATTATACACAAAACATGCGCTTGGTTGACAAGTGTGACACGCAGATTGGTTTTGTTGACTGTGTTCGTAAGAGTTACAAGTGGTACATGAAACTTTTCTTTCATCTCATGGACATTTCAATGCTGAATGCATATAATATGTACCAAATAAAGACTGGTAACAGACCACCGTATGGTGAATTTTGTTGTCTGTTGTCAGACAACTCATAATGAAGTACCAGGTAACAACACCTGCAATACAACATGGTCCTCGAATTCATCATGATATACCCAAGCGTTTGAGGAGAGAAGGTGATCATTTCATAATACAGCTTCCTTCAACTCAAAAGAAATTTGCTCAGAAGAGATGCATTGTCTGTGCACAAACAAAACGACGGCAACAAAGACGCAAAGACACTCGGTTTATGTGTGAGGAATGTAAGGTGCCTCTGTGCATGGTGCCTTGTTTCAAGGAGTTCCACAAGCTCCAGCAGTTCTAAAACCATGTCCAGTGATTGTAAATATGTAAATATATGATAGAACATTAGTATTATACAATATTTGTGCATGTTTATTGTAATAAACAACAGTGGTAAACAATAATATGATAATAACTTTAGTGCGGTTATTGTGTTCAATACAGTGAGTTTATATATATCAATTATATACAGTATTGGTCTCTCAGGCCCCAAATGTTAGTAGGAATAGAAAAAAATTGGAAAAGAAAAGAAAAAACAACTAAAACAACAAAATAATATAATATGTGTATGTGGAATTCGTCGATGTTGCCACCACCACATCATTTTCTATAAACTTCTTGGCACTGTATCTCGGTAAGTACTGATCAGATTCTAAATTTTTTTGTTTTATTACCTTCACAAAAATATGCTTTTTAATTCTGTAAGAAAAAATAATTTTTTTTTTTCAAAATTTCTTGGACACTGGTGCATGACTTCAGATTTTGGCCTTGGACCCTGAAAGGGTTAACGATGGAGTTCTGTTCCTAATACTGTACCACGTCGGTAAACGAATTCGTCGCTAAATGAGGAGCATATTATAATGGTCGTGCGTTTAGGTCAATGATCCCTGATACTGCTTTTGTCACCCTTGCACCATTTATAACATTTTTAGTACAGTGGAACCTCTACTTACGAGTTTAATCCACTGCGTAACCTTGCTCACATCTAGATTTGCTTGTTTGCAGAGTCAATTTTCCTCTTTTAAATTAATTTAAATGGAATTCATTCCTGTGGAATTCTAGGCATGACAAAATATTCAATAATTTCCCTAATATCAACTCTATGGCTTATTTATCTATCACAATTCATATATGACATAATGAACAATATTAATAACATAGAAACATGATATATACACTAGAATGAATAAAATACATGTCATTATGTATGTGGCTAGTGGTGGTGACAGCAACCATTGCTGTTGTTGGGGCTTATAGGGCCACCACAGCGGCCATTCCTGCTCCTGACTGCATGTGTAGAGAACCTAGGATAACCCCCCCCAAAAAAAAGTCAGAGAGTGAATTATAATTGCTACACTCTTAATGCTACACTTTGTCACTGACTCCTCCTGCTTTAGTACAGTACATATCATTGAAGTGGTACACTGGTACTGCCTAGTCAAGCCCTTAACCCTCCAGCTAGTTTGTTTATCTAAGATTTCCCGCTTTAATTTCATGGAAATCATCCTCTTTTTCTTCTCAGCACTGTCCTTTGCACTTGCTTTCTTAGGACCCATGTTTGAAACAAGAAATTTTGCAAAATAACTGCACAAAACGTAAGGAAAACACAAGAATTCCTTCCACCATGAGTGGAGTGGACTGAGCATTGTTTTGATACATACTGCCATCTCGTGGTGGCATTCGGAAACTCACTTATAGCATAGGGTACAACATGGTCTGCCACTGCTGGTTCATGTTGTCTTCCACTGCTGTTTCATGTTGCCTGCCACTGCTGCTTCATGTTGTCTGCCACTACTATCTCATGTTGTCTGCCACTGCTACCTCATGATGTCTGCCACTGCTACCTCATGATGTCTGCCACTGCTGCTTCATGTTGTCTTCCACTGCTGCTTCATGTTTTCTGCTCCCACTTTTGCTAGCATGTTGAAGAGCTTTCCAATATGTGAAGGTTGAGGGGCAGTGCCAATCGGACAGGTATTAGATGGTGACGTCATTTGTTTACTCTTGAACATCGCCAAAGAATCGAACATTTCTGCTACTTTGAGCTCAATTTCAAGGTACTTTTCGTCGTGAAACCAATCAAAATCAAAGCTATTTCTGTAGTATATTTTCCAGTCTATCAAATGAGACCAAAAAAATGAGAATACAACCATAAAAACCCTATGAAAATATGCCATTAAGGGAAAGGTAATGGTCGGGAAGTGAACTCCTTTTATTTATGGCCCCGATTTCTTTATTTTTTGTACAATAAAAAGCATCTTTCCACACCCATTCCCCAAGTTTTAAAAATACATGGCCCCCCCGGCATAACGTTTTACCACCCCAAAATTTGCAAACCAATTATTTCTTTGAAGTTTGGGGGTCTGAAGGGGACAAATCGTTTTCCAATATTTCTTAGGGGAAAAAAAATTTTTTTCGGTCAGTCTGGCCCCTGAAACCAACGCCCGGGGGGGTAAAAAAATTCCCCAAACCCCGGGGGTCCACTGTTTTAAAAAGATAGCCCCAACAAACAACTGAGATCCCAATTTCCCTAGACCCAACACCCAAGAGCCCCCCCCCAGCGCAAGGAACCCCCCTTGACCCCTGCTAAATTTGGAAAATTTTTTTGCTAAAGTCGGGAAGAAAAAAAATGGGAACCGAGTAAACGGCCCCTATTGAAAAAAACTTCACGTGGAGGCCACTAAGGAAAGGGGTTTCCCCACTGTGTTTTTTAAAAAAATTTTTTTATACTTTGGGTGTACGGGACATTGTAAAAAAACAGAAAAAGGAAAAGCAGCTAAATAACATTTAGGTATACATACGGCAGAGAGCTTGTCGAAAGTCCGAGTCATTGGAAAAAACGAGTAGGGTTGGTAAGTGAGGAGACGCGGGGTAAAAGGCCCTGTAGGATGGAGGGGGGGGCACTGGAAAAAAAAAAAGGAAATGATTGGGTGGTATTGTGGGGGAAAGGGCAAAAAGAGAAAAAAACTGCAACACATAAAAGGGCCCTTTTAATAATTAAAAATACTTAAGGTGACTCTGACTTTGTTATTTGCCCCCTCATGTAGGGGAAAATCACCACGACACAGGTGAGACTTTGTTGTATGATTATACAAAGGAATCATCCTTTTCCTTCTGATTTCCCATCTAACATCTGTGAGGTTTATTACTATCATTTAAGAAAATACAACCACACCAATTTTCATTATGTTCCACTGAAGGATTAAATATATTTTACAGAATAACTTGGGAATTATCATGCGACTGATGGGGACAACTAGTTTTTTTTATTTATTTTATTTATTTATTTAGTAATTTAAGCATACATACAGAGGTACAAAAAATACAGGTAAGAGCAGCATGCCAAAGCCACTTATATGCATAGCATTACGGGCTGGCTTAAAATTAACTTAAGATTAACTAAGCAATGATGAAATCAGTGATAAAACATTATTGTAAACAGATAACTATAAAGCACAAATGAGTATTACAAAGACAGGTCATATGGTTGCTTGCATTGCTGTACATTCAGTCGAATGGAGTATTCTGTTAGGTAGTGTATTTAAAAAAAATAATAAAGTTAGATTGGGTCCTAGGTTTAACATTTGTGTGATATAATTGTGAGTAACATATAGGATATACAATTTATAAGGTTCAGTTATTCAGTATTTATTTGGTTTTGAGTGAGTAAGTGATCTTTGAGAAGAGACTTGAATTTATAAACAGGTAGTGTTTCTTTTATATTTACAGGTAATGAATTCCAGATTTTAGGGCCTTTTATGTGCATTGAGTTTTTGCATAGCGTGAGATGGACACGAGGAACATCAAAGAGTGATCTGTGCCTTGTGTTATGGTCATGTGTTCTGTTGAGGTTGGCAAGGAGATGTTTGAGGGGAGGGTTAATATCAGAGTTAAGTGTTCTATGTATGTAATTACACAAATTTAACTGTATTACTTCAATACAGCTTTTTACTCTTTTTACTTAATTTTCTCTTTGGTCTCATATTAATAACAAGGAGGAGACAGCCAGTGTTAAATAATGTGTGTGTGAGCATATTAGATAGAAGTGAAAAGAGACAAATGGTTTTTGGGACCTGACGAGCTGTTGGAGTGTGAGCAGGGTAATATTTTGTGAAGGGATTCAAGGAAACCGGTTAGCCGGACTCGAGTCCTGGAAATGGGAAGTACAATGCCTGCACTTTACAGGAGGGGTTTGGGATATTGGCAGTCTGGAGGGGAATATATATTTTCTAAACAGTCATATCTGAGCGCCTCTGCGAAGACAGTGATTATGTATGAGAGAGGTTAAAGTGTTGAATGATGAAAGTATTTTTCTTTTTGGGGATTTTCTTTCTTTTTGGGTCACCCTGCCTCAGTGGGAGACGATGGTTGTGTTGGAGAGAAAAGAAAAGAAAAAAAAAATAGTGCAATAAGATCACAGTAAAACAGGTGATATTACGATGTGCAGAACAACCACAGTGAAAAAATAGTTAAATTCCAAGTGCTTTCATGATTTCTTGATAATGTGAAAAATCATGAAATAGCATGGAATTTCACTATTTTTTCACAGTGGTTGTTTTGCAAAACATGTAGTGTGGAGTGGGAATAAAATAAGACTGGGAGGTGGCATGAAAGGTATAATCCAAAGTATGTTAAGGGGGCTGAGGTAGTTTGACAATACAGCAAGGAAAGAGCATGATAAGTTGATCAAGGTTTACAAATTTGAGAGGGGTGAGGATGCTACAGTTTGGAGAGTTATCTTAACCCTGATGCTAGTATGCTTCTCACAGGACAGTGTTTAAATGAATGAAAGTTCATGCGTTCCCTACTTTTTTTTTTTTTTGAAGGGGGGGGGGGTTACCCTACCTCAGTGAAAGACGGCCAGATTTAAAAAAATAAATTGAAGTCAAGGAAGGAGGAAGAAGTGTAGATGCCCAAGGAAGGATTGGAAGGAGGGAGTGGAAGATGATATTTAGAGGTAGTGGCTTGAACATCCAGCAGACTTATGTGCAAGCATGTTAGATTAGTGAGTGGAGGAGAGTTCTTTGGAATAGAGGAAAACTAGTTAGTTAAGCTTGAGTTTTGGGGGTGCCAGAACTGTGCAAATCAGATGGAATATTCTAGTTTGATGGGTCATCAGTGGATCATGTTTGTGCACTTATGGAAATGCAACTAGGGCACAAGAGATGGTGTGCTTTTTTCTTTGCATTACCCTACAATGTGGGAAATTATTGTTGATGTACTTTTTTTTTTAACCCTTAAATTGCCCAAATGTAGATCTACGTTTTCACTGCCAACGCTGGGAATATTTTGGATTTTTTTTTTTTAAATTAAAGAGAGCAATTTTCTGTGTAAAAAGAAAAAAAAAAAAAAAAAAAAAAGGGGGGGGGGGCAGTACTTACCAAGATATAAGACCGCAAAGTTGGCGCTGGATGCTTACCTGACGGCAACATGGAGTCCTGCCGCTTGTGTTGCCCATATATCTTTTTTTCTCTTTTTTCTTTTTTATTTTTATAATTTTTTTGTTCTGATAATTACAAATTGTAGTAGTTCTTGTGATTCCATAGCCAATGTTTGTTCTGACACTAATATTAGATACTCAAACAGTACTCATATAGTCACAAACACACTGACATATGAACATTTTCACCTGCCTTGGTCACCTACTATTGTCCAGAAATATATACATAGTATTTATAGGTCCCAGCAATGTTTTAGACATGTTGGAGTATATATGAAACTCCTTGAAGCAGCACTGTGTAAGACGAGTGTCACCCCATTGCTGACAGTGCAGCAATGAGTGACACTTGATGATAGTGCGCTTTCTTTGTTTTCACTGTTACATAAAAACATTTCTATTTGTTTGTCTGTGTCTAGCTCTGTCTGCTTATCAGTCTTTCTCTTTGCCTGTGTGTCTGTCTTCCTGTCTCTGTCTGCTTGTCTCTCTCTCTCTCTCTGTCTCAGAGAGCCACTCATGAACTAACAGGTATTACACACGATGCAGAGTAGCCACGTCTGATTCCCGAACAAGTGAAATGCGTATTACTTGACAGTCATGTTTATTATGAGTATGTCTACAAGCACAGTACAACACTTTCTGAATTTTTTTTGGATTATCCTAGGCAATTTACACTATGTATAATAACTATTTATGTATACATGTGAGGGAGAGACAGACAGATAGAGACATGAAGAGATAGATACAGACAGACAGAGAGAGAGAGACAGCCAAAGTCAATCAGTCATCCGGCCCACCAGCCAGCCACTCGGCCTGCCAAAGACATATTACACGTTCCAGAATCGTTACTCTTTTCTTAGGGCATAAGTTATAGGACATTCTGGCAGGATGACACTACCAGCGGTATCAGAAATGAAAGGATGTTACACAAATGTTGCACATGGGTTATTATCCAGGCTTTTGATATTTCCTCGATCACTTGTGGCCACATTCATCTCAAAGCCACTAAACTCTGGGTCAACATCATTTTCCTCTTAAAAGGGAAGTGTTAATACAACATGGCATCAGTGAATCCCTGGTGTTTGCCACGCTATTTGCTCTAGCTGGCGCTCAATTGAACTGGTACTCCCACAAGGTACTAAGTGGTCCCAGATTTTTTAATACTGCACACACCGAGGGTTAAGACCCATTCTATACTGACCAGGCAGCTCAGGCCACTCGTGCCAAATTTGAAGGCAGAAAAAATAAAATGTAGATCTATGTTTGGAGCACTAGCGGTACAAACGTAGATCTATGTTTGAACAGTTTAAGGGTTAAAAGCTTACATAATTTTTTTTTTTTTTTTTTTTGAGTAAATTTGATTTGCATGAAGTTTCCCAGGAATGCCTTTCCCATTTAATTAATGGGTCCAGAAACAGCCTATCAAGATAATTTCTTTGGCTAAAAAATTTGAAAATCTCTAAGGCAGGGTGGCCCAAAAAAGAAAAACTTTCATCATTCACTCTATCACTGTCTTGCAAGAGGCACACTTACACTACAATTATAAAATTGCAACATTAACACCCCTCCTTCAGAGTGCAGGCACTGTACTTCACCTCTCCAGGACCCAAGTCCAGCCTGCTGGTTTCCCTGACTTCCTCCATAAATGTTATCTTGCTCACACTCCAACAGCACATCAAGTCCTAAAAACCATTTGTTTCCATTCGCTCCTATCCAACATGCTCACACATGCTTGCTGGAAGTCAAAGCCCCTTGCACACATCCCCTTCTTTCCCCCTTACCTCCAACTTTTCCTAGGCTGACCCCTACCCCACCTTCCCTCCACTACAGATTTATACATTCTTGAAGTTATTCTATTTTGTTCCATTCTCTCTACATGTCCGAACCACCTCAACAACTCCTCATCCCTCTGGATAATAGTTTTAGCAATCCAGCACCTCCTCCTAATTTCCACACTATGAACCTTTATATCTGGTAACTAAATGCGAATAAAATTAATGTCTCATAATGTCCCATGTACAACCAAATGCCAGCAAGCACATTACAGGAAACACTGATTTTAGTATGATTTAAAGAATATCCCAGGATTAAGTGTTTCTTTAACATAATCGAAAAATACACAAACAAGCGTTATTTTCTAAGTGCTATTTGCATATGATACAAAAAAATACGATTTAGTCTTTCGCTGAAAGGTCAGCTATGATCATTTCATTTTCCCACATATGGATTTTAGGTGATAATTCAGTTTCCTTTGGGCCATAAGTCAGGCATCACAGGGTGCTATATGACTGATGCACAAGGAAAACTAGACCACCCAATAAATTAACAGTGCCTGCAGTGAAACATACAAAAATAATTACATAAATATTCTTATATAGTATTGTTCAGTAATATGCAATACAAATATCGAGGTGTGCAATATTACACACATTTCCTTATGAAATATGAATACAATAATTTTAAGCAAAAATAGATAAATTGTTGATTTACTATTGTTTGTGGGCAGTAGTAAATCTAGATACATGTACATGCCTAGCCAACATTGCCAATATTTCTTTGGATATTACTCAAACCATCATGCATTTCATATGCAAGTCAGTCTCCAACCAAGATGAAGAGATTGTAATTTTTTTTTTTTTCCAACAAGTCGGCCATCTCCCACCGAGGATTAATGTTGATCATGTGTATGACTGACCAGGTATTCTTGTAATACAGTATTGAGTCAACAGTGAGGTGCACTAAGAAGGATGAACTGTAAATTATGGAAAGGTAATATGCTTGAAAGCAAACCACACACGGGCTGGAGGTTTACGACTTGCCTGCCATGGGTTAAAACCCCACCCATTCCATGGTTTAATTAGGAAAAGATTGGGGTCCTGTAAACCTTTGATTCTAATACTGTTAAAGCTAAAAACTAGCCTCAATGTGTACATCAAAAACCAACAACAACAACAGAATATGCCAACAGATGTTTCAAATACAAGTGATAGAGCTAAAATCATATCATCTAATTGGGAAGGCAGAAGTACACTAATAGTACTCAGCTCTTTGTAGCAACCTAGATCTGGGTTAAGCACATATGGCCTACACACTGTTAAGAGCATAAAAGAAGTCACATCAGTTGTTTACGAAGATGAAGAATTTTCTCGTGGCCCCTGAAATTAAAAGGGCTGTCAGTGTTGTGATTTAAAAAATCTAAATAATTTTATCATCTAAAATGGTTGAGAATCTTTTTCTGAGGGTTATGATACTAAATATTCAAAATTTGAAGTAAAACTTATAGAATTATGTAGGTGTGAAGTTGGCTGTCTGGGTGTAATTTATGCATCAGCTATTTCACCCAATTCAAGGCCTGCTTTAGGACACTTCCATTGCTTAAAGCGACCAAATTCCTGGCTATGTCACTAGTATATCTTCCATTCTTTCTGAGTACAAGAAACTGCCCTATAAAATGCAAAGTAGTCAGAAATTTGGCCAATTTTCCATAAAATCCAACAAATTCCCCCTAAAACAAAAGTTCAAAATAAACACTTTAGGCATTCCTGGAACTAAAGCAACCTTTCCTTTGTTCATAATCATGTCTTGAGGCCTCTCTTATATAACACTTGCCCTCTATACTGAATCCATTATCACTAAACATGTCATAGTTTTCCCTGTTTCTCGAGTAATAAAATATAACCAACAATGAATGGTCAAGGTTTAGACTCCCCCTGTAACTGAAGCAGACTTAGCACAAATCCATAAAACAAACTGGTGGGTGGGAGAGGCTCCTACCCTTCCTCAGGAAAATCACCAAAAACTGAATGTTTTTGCCATTTTGGGACTTATTTCAGGACACTTTCAGTCTGAAACGGACTACAATCGTCTCCATTTCACTAGTATGTCTTCTGGTCTATCAACTGAACCTGGGGAAACAGCCAGTAAAACCATGAAAACCACCTCAAAAAATTTCAAAATCTCTGTTTAAACACAAACACAAGATTGGAGACTAGCTGTTCCCATCATGAACTGTGCGAGGCAAAATTCTTTTTATTCCATGCACACCCACCACACAGACCCATTCTCTCATGTCTAGGCCAAAATTTACCAATCACAGTGAATTTGAGGGTGCTGTGATTAACCCCTCGACTGTTGCAACCCCAAATCCTGAGGTGTCTCCTGGTGTCGCAAAAAAACTTATGAAATGATGGAGAATCTTTTCCCGATTGTAATGACACCAAAAGAATGAAATTTGATGGAAAACTGACAGAATTAAATTACACTTGCCAAGTTAGCGGCCTCGGCGATATTTATGAATCGGCAATTTCGCCCACTTTGAGCCCTATTTTCGGCTAATTCCATTGTTCCAGTCGACAAACTCATAGCTATTTTTTTAGAACTCCATTTTTTCTATCGATTGAGTACAAGAAACTGCCCATTTACCAATTTAAACTACCCAATAATGTTGTCAGAAATTTGCAATTTGGCCAATTTCACGAAAATTAAAAAATATGACAATTTCAAAATAGGGTCCAGAATGAACAATGCAGACATTCCTGGCTCTAAAATAACATTTTCTTTGTACATCAGTCACGTCTCCAGGCCCCTCTGATATTACTCCTGCTTTCTATTTTGAATTTTTATTCAAACAAAAAAAATGGAAGATTTACTGTTATGCAGACTACTGCAATATTGTAATAATTGTATAAATAATGTGAACCCATTCATGACTGCATATTAGAATGGCTAGTTGGGCATTTATTAGAAAATGACATCATTTGTTTACTTTTGAACATCGGGAAAAATCAAACATTTCCCCTACTTTGAGCTCCATTTCAAGGTTCTTTTCATAGTAAAACCAATCAAAATCACCTCTATTTTATAATATGTTTTCCATTCTATCAAATGAGACCAAGAAAACGAGAATACAGCCATAAATACTATACGAAAATAGACCACAAAGTTGGCATTTTAATTAAAAAAAAAAACGGTCGGAGTTTTTTTTCTCATTATGCACTGCGTGCTGCAGGATTTTTTTTATATGGTGCACATTGACCACACAGACCCATTCTCTCACATGTGGGTCTACCAGCTTCCTCCTGCTCGATTTAAAGCCGCTAGAATTTGTGAGTATATATACGTTAAAAACGGTGACTCGTAAGACGTATATACATTTTTTTTTTTCAACAAGCCGGCCGTCTCCCACCGAGGCAGGGTGACCCAAAAAAAAAGAAAATCTCCGAAAAGAAAATACTTTCATCATCATTCAACACTTTCACCTCACTCACACATAATCACTGATTTTGCAGAGGTGCTCAGAACACTACAGTTTAGAAGCATATACATATAAAGATACACAACATATCCCTCCAAACTGCTAATATCCCCAAACCCCTCCTTTAGAGCGCAGGCATTGCACTTCCCAATTCCAGGACTCAAGTCCGGCTATATAAAAATAACCGGTTTCCCTGAATCCCTTCACTAAATATTACCCTGCTCACACTCCAACATATCGTCAGGTCCCAAATACCATTCGTCTCCATTCATAAGCAAAACTGGCCTCAATGACAAAGATCTATGTGGGAGACAGTAAAAGGGTTAAGGAAGCAACAGCAGAAAGTTGATACAAGCCTAAACAGGTTTTGAATACCAATGAGACTGACCTGTTCTGGATGGGTATGCTATAAGGAACATATAATCAAGAAGAAATATGATCCTTATTCCAAGGTGGCCAAAGAATAGCTAAACTTTCTCTGTACAAATACCAAGGAAGACTGAATGATCAAGCCTATGCTATTTTACTATTCCCTGAATCCCTGTGCTGTTCAAAGCAAACCGGTTATTTGCCTATTCTTTTTCTGAAATCTAATAAGAACAAGATCAATGAACCTGTTTTCAAGGAAAATTTCAGTGAATGCACTGTACTGAAAAATCAAGATTTATATAATGTCAATGAATTTGCCAGTAAAGGCACTCCTACTCATAGACATTGCTCTAGCACACCTTTCTGACTTAACTGATTTAAACAGCAATATACACTTAGGAGACAAACCTATAACAATGTTCTGGTCGAACTTGGACCTTAAACAAGTTAATGGTCCAAGTGAGATTAAAACATTGTCAAAGGTTTCAGTTTCCTAAATGTAGGCTATTTGTGCATTGTTCTAGCCACAGTGTTATGGCTTTTTATTCTTTTTTGAACAGCATATTAACTCTCAAACTGTGCATGTGTACATATACAGAAGCTTGTTTGTGCACAACTTATATAAGTACAGATTTTGTAGGCTACAAATTTGCAACCAGCCACTATTTTAAGCCTCAGCTCAACTGTTTGGACGTCCTTCCACTTTGTCAGTCGGGTCCCCACAGTATGTCATAAATAATTATGACTCAGCAGGACATACAAGGTGAGTGACATGCCACTTTATGAAATTTTTTTAGCTTAAGTACGTGTAAAAGTAAGAGGAAGGTGAAAGTTTATAAACTAAGGGAGGAGGAAGTTCGGGTGAGATATAAGCAACTATTGGCAGAAAGGTGGGCTGGTGCAAGTATGAGTAGTGGGGGGTTGAAGAGGGTTGGAATAGTTTTAAAAATGCAGTATTAGAATGTGGGGTAGAAGTTTGTGGTTATAGGAGGGTGAGTGCAGGAGGAAAGAGGAGTGATTGGTGGAATGATGAAGAAAAGGGTGTGATAAAAGAGAAAAAGGTAGCTTATGAGAGGTTTTTACAAAGCAGAAGTGTTATAAGAAGAGTTGAGTATATGGAGAGTAAAAGAAAGGTGAAGAGAGTGGTGAGAGAGTGCAAAAGGAGAGCAGATGATAGAGTGGGAGAGGCACTGTCAAGAAATTTTAATGAAAATAAGAAAAAATTCTCATAGGTAGTAGGTTGGTAGACAGCAACTGCCCAGGGAGGTACTACCGTCCTGCCAAGTGAGTGTAAAACAAAAGCCTTGTAATTGTTTTACATGATGGTAGGATTGCTGGTGTCCTTTTTTCTGTCTCATCAACATGCAACATTTCAGGTATGTCTTGCTACTTTTACTTACACTTAGGTCACACTACACATACATGTACAAGCACATATATACACACCCCTCTGGGTTTTCTTCTATTTTCTTTCTAGTTCTTATTCTTTTTTATTTCCTCTTATCTCCATGGGGAAGTGGAACAGAATTCTTCCTCCGTAAGCCATGCGTGTTGTAAGAGGCAACTAAAATGCCGGGAGCAAGGGGCTAGTAACCTCTTCTCCTGTATATATTACGAATGTAAAAGGAGAAACTTTCATTTTTCCTTTTGGGCCACCCAGCCTCGGTGGGATACGGCCGGTGTGTTGAAAGAAAGAAAGAAAGAAGAAAAAATTATGGAGTGAGTTAAACAAGTTAAGAAAGCCTAGAGAACGAATGATTTGTCAGTTAAAAACAAAGTAGGGGAGTTAGTAGATGGGGAGATGGAGGTATTGGGTAGATGGTGAGAATATTTTGAGGAACTTTTAAATGTCAACGAAGAAAGGGAGGCGGTAATTTCATGCACTGGCCAGGGAGGTATACCATCTTTTAGGAGTGAAGAAGAGCAAGATGCGAGTGTGGGGGAGGTGCGTGAGGCATTATGTAGAATTTAAGGGGGTAAAGCAGCTGAAACTGACAGGATCATGACAGAAATGTTAAAAGCAGGGAGGGATATAGTGTTGGAGTGGTTGGTATTTTTGTTTAATGAATGTATGAAAGAGGGGAAGGTACCTAGGAACTGGCAGAGTATGTATAGTCCCTTTATATAAAGGGAAGGGGGACAAAAGAGATTGTAAAAATTATAGAGGAATAAGTTTACTGAGTATACAAGGGAAAGTGTATGGTAGGGTTATTATTAAAAGAATTAGAATTAAGACAGAAGGTAGGATTGCAGATGAGCAAGGTTTTAGAGTGGGTAGGGGATGTGTGGATCAAGTGTTTACATTGAAGCATATATGTGAACAGTATTTAGATAAAGGTAGGGAAGTTTTTATTGCATTTATGGATTTAGAAAAGGCATATGATAGAGTGGATAGGAGAGCAATGTGACAGATGTTGCAAGTATATGGAATAGGTGGTAAGTTACTAAATGCTGTAAAGAGTTTTTATGAGGATAGTGAGGCTCAGGTTAGGGTGTGTAGAAGAGAGGAAGACTACTTCCTGGTAAAAGTAGGTCTTAGACAGGGATGTGTAATGTCACCATGGTTAATATATTTATAGATGGGGTTATAAAAGAAGTAAATGCTAGGGTGTTGGGAAGAGGGGTGGGATTAAATTATGGGGAATCAAATACAAAATGGGAATTGACACAGTTACTTTTTGCTGATGATACTGTGCTTATGGGAGATTCTAAAGAAAAATTGCAAAGGTTAGTGGACGAGTTCGGGAGTGTGTGTAAAGGTAGAGTGAGGTGATGAGGGTATCAAATGATTTAGATAAAGAAAAATTGGATATCAAATTGGGGAGGAGGAGTATGGAAGAAGTGAATGTTTTCAGATATTTGGAAGTTGATGTGTCAGCGGATGGATTTTTTGAAGGATGAGGTTAATCATAGAACTGATGAAGGAAAAAAAAGCGAGTGGTGCGTTGAGGTATATGTGGAGACAAAAAACGTTATCTATGGAGGCAAAGAAGGGAATGTATGAAAGTATAGTAGTACCAACACTCTTGGAGGGAGGGGGGTAAAGGAGGTTTTGTGGACAAGGGGCTTGGGCTTCCAGCAAGCGTGCATGAGCGTGTTAGATAGGAGTGAATGGAGATGAATGGTATTTGGGACCTGACGAGCTGTTGGAGTGTGAGCAGGGTAATATTTAGTGAAGGGATTAAGGGAAACCGGTTATTTTTATATAGCCGGACTTGAAATGGGAAGTACAATGCCTGCAATTTAAAGGAGGGATTTGGGATATTGGTAGTTTGGAGGGATATGTTGTGTATCTTTATACATACTGTATGCTTCAAAACTGTTGTATTCTGAGCACCTCTGCAAAAACAGTGATTATGTGTGAGTGAGGTGAAAGTGTTGATTGATGATGAAAGTATTTTCTTTTTGGGGATTTTCTTTCTTTATAGGTCACCTTGCCTCGGTGGGAGACGGCTGACTTGTTAAAAAAAAAAAAAAAAAAAAAAATTATTCTTATGTTTTTACCTGCTGGCTAGAGAATTCACAACTGCTAACTTTGGTTGAGGGCTGAAGATGAATTTCCACTTTGTTAATACAACATTTAAATGTACACCTTTGATATACCTTACCTTTGATGAATTTCGAGAGTCTTTCTACTCCCGGAGCCCAGCCATGGGCCAGGCTCTTCTGGTGCTAGCCTGGTCAATCAGGGTGTTGCTGCTGGAGGCCTGCCACCCCACATATTCATTCCTGCCACTTGCTTCCAAGGTATGTTGCCCTGTACTAGGTAATAATAATGTTAACAGGCCAATAATCTCTATGTTAATATGAAATGGTATAGTTCAAACTTTTCAAATATAGGCTGCATATATTCTGCAAAGTTAGCAATATAAGTGCATGGCTATTTCTTACATTACTATACATGTTAATGTTTTATATGTACTAAATTGTAGCTTGTCAAAATTATATTGGAACTGTTGCTGAGAAACAAGAAGTCATGTAATGCTGTCATCTACTGTAATACATGGATCTCAATTACATAAATTCACTCAAACTAGTTTTGGAGTTCCCCCAAGAAAGAGAAACAAAAATAAAGGAACTATAATTTAATGTTGCATATACTGTATAGATAAAACAATTCATAATAGTATTCCTTAATTTGCATGGAAAATTTAAATGAGAAGATTTAAAAAAAAAAGTGTGCTTATATAACATGATTTAACTATAAGAGACATATGTAAATAATAATTAAACAAAGTGCTATTGCATTATCCCATTTAACTAAACAAATATGGCATACACTTTGGCTGTATGTGACAAGTAAATTATATTCTTAGTCCTTCTCAGAATCAATAATATTCACTCCAGAAAAGAACAAAGTTATATAATTCAATAATACATCTATGTCTTAATTTATAACATGATGATTCCGGACCACTTCTGCAAGATCTATACTCACTGAATATGGGAAAAAATAAATGGAAGAAAAGATTGTGGTATATTTTTACAGAAAGGGTTATATTAAATAGATTTACTAAGAAAGTGTTTAAAGTGCAACGTATAAGTAAAATGCAGTGCACTAAGAAATTACCAGACATTAAATAACTTAATGATGCAAAAATGAATAAAATGTACTTACAAGGCATATGATGATAAGCAAAATGTTACTCCTTCATTCGAATCCCTTTGAAAATGCTATATACAGTGAATTCTTACATCCATGTAGGTAAAATGAATTTTTATTGTACTTGGTTTAATCTCATGATGATTCATGAAGGATTTAACTTTCATAAATTACATGGCACCAAGGGGAGACTCAACCCTGAGGGGACTTTCTAGACACAATACAAAACTCTTTCCACCATCAAATATATTGAGTTGTTAACCTGTGTCAAAATCTCCCTAATGCCTCTTAAGGCATCCTCTCACTCCATCAGTACTTGGATTAACATCAAGGAAATGCTGAATCCATTATACTTATCAAGGATGCCCCTTACATCCTCAAAAATTTTGAGCAGAATCAGCAGCTTCTTGTGATCTCTTATATCCACATAAGATGGGATCTGAAAAAAAATAAATCAATCAAGAATATTCAACAAAAATAAAATAAAAATAATAAACATATTTAACAGAGATGATTGTGGATGTTATGAATGAAAAGAAGCTGGATGTCCTGGTTCTAAGTGAAACAAAGCTGAAGGGGAAAGGAGAGTTTCAGTGGGAAGAAATAAATGGGATTAGGTCAGGAGTTTTGAATATAGTTAGAGCTAAGGAAGGAGTAGCAATAAACTTGAAAGGTAAGTTATGGCAGGATAAGAAGTAATATAAATGTATAAATTCAAGGATTATATGGAGTAAAATAAGGGTTGGATGTGAAAAGTGGGTTATAGTAAGTGTTCATGCACCTGGAGAAGAGAGAAGTGTAGAGGAGAAAGATTTTGGGAAATGCTGAGTGAGTGTATGGGGAGTTTTGAACCAAGTGTGAGAGTACTTGTGGTTGGGGATCTCAATGCTAAAGTGGGTAAAAATGTTGTAGAGACTAAGAGGTAAATTTGGGGTGCCAGGGGTATATGAAAATGGGGAGTCTTTAATTGAACTATGTGTAGAAAGAGGTTTGATAGTAATACTTTTTTTTTTTTTCCAACAAGTCGGTCATCTCCCACCGAGGCAGGGTGACCCAAAAAAGAAAGAAAATCCCCAAAAAGAAAATACTTTCATCATTCAACACTTTCACCACACTCACACATTATCACTGCTTTTGCAGAGGTGCTCAGAATACAACAGCTTAGAAGCATATACGTATAAAGATACACAACATATCCCTCCAAACTGTCAATATCCCAAACCCCTCCTTTAAAGTGCAGGCATTGTACTTCCCATTTCCAGGACTCAAGTCCGACTATATGAAAATAACCGGTTTCCCTGAATCCCTTCACTAAATATTACCCTGCTCACACTCCAACAGATCGTCAGGTCCCAAGTATCATTCGTCTCCATTCACTCCTATCTAACACGCTCATGCACGCCTGCTGGAAGTCCAAGCCCCTCGTCCACAAAACCTCCTTTACCCCCTCTTTCCAACCCTTTCGAGGACGACCCCTACCCCTCTTTCCTTCCCCTATAGATTTATATGCTTTCCATGTCATTCTACTTTGATCCATTCTCTCTAAATGACCAAACCACCTCAACAACCCCTCTTGTGCCCTCTGACTAATGCTTTTATTAACTCCACACCTTCTCCTAATTTCCACACTCCGAATTTTCTGCATAATATTTACACCACACATTGCCCTTAGACAGGACATCTCCACTGCCTCCAACCGTCTCCTCGCTGCTGCATTTACCAACCAAGCTTCACATCCATATAAGAGTGTTGGTACTACTATACTTTCATACATTCCCTTCTTTGCCTCCATAGATAACGTTTTTTGACTCCACATATACCTCAACGCACCACTCACCTTTTTTCCCTCATCAATTCTATGATTAACCTCATCCTTCATAAATCCATCCGCCGACACGTCAACTCCCAAGTATCTGAAAACATTCACTTCTTCCATACTCCTCCTCCCCAGTTTGATATCCATTTTTTCTTTATCTAAATCATTTGATACCCTCATCACCTTACTCTTTTCTATGTTCACTTTCAACTTTCTACCTTTACACACATTCTCAAACTCATCCACTAACCTTTGCAATTTTTCTTTAGAATCTCCCATAAGCACAGTATCATCAGCAAAAAGTAACGTGTCAATTCCCATTTTGAATTTGATTCCCCATAATTTAATCCCACCCCTCTCCCAAAACCCTAGCATTTACTTCTTTTACAACCCCATCTATAAATATATTAAACAACCATGGTGACATTACACATCCCTGTCTAAGACCTACTTTTACCGGGAAGTATTCTCCCTCTCTTCTACACACCCTAACCTGAGCCTCACTATCCTCATAAAAGCTCTTTACAGCATTTAGTAACTTACCACCTATTCCATAAACTTGCAACATCTGTCACATTGCTCCTCTATCCACTCTATCATATGCCTTTTCTAAATCCATAAATGCAATAAAAACTTCCCTACCTTTATCTAAATACTGTTCACATATATGCTTCAATGTAAACACTTGATCTACACATCCTCTACCCACTCTGAAGCCTCCTTGCTCATCCGCAATTCTACATTCTGTCTTACCTCTAATTCTTTCAATTTAACTCTACCGTATACTTTTCCTGGTATACTCAGTAAACTTATTCCTCTATAATTTTTACAATCTCTTTTGTCCCCTTTCCCTTTATATAAAGGGACTATACATGCTCTCCGCCAATCCTAGGTACCTTCCCTCTTTCATACATTTATTAAACAAAAGTACCAACCACTCCAACACTATATCCCCCCTGCTTTTAACATTTCTGTCATGATCCCATCAGTTCCAGCTGCTTTACCCCCTTTCATTCTACGTAATGCCTCACGTACCTCCACCACACTTACATTCTGCACTTCTTCACTCCTAAAAGATGGTATACCTCCCTGGCCAGTGCATGAAATTACCGCCTCCCTTTCTTCCTCAACATTTAAAAGTTCCTCAAAATATTCTCGCCATCTACCTAATACTTCCCTCTCCCCATCTACTAACTCCCCTACTCTGTTTTTAACGGACAAATCCATACTTTCCCTAGGCTTTCTTAACTTGTTTAACTCGCTCCAAAATTTTTTCTTATTTTCATTAAAATTTCTTGACAGTGCCTCTCCCACTCTTTCATCTGCTCTCCTTTTGCACTCTCTCACCACTCTCTTTACCTTTCTTTTACTCTCCATATACTCTGCTCTTCTTATAACACTTCTGCTTTGTAAAAACCTCTCGTAAGCTACCTTTTTCTCTTTTATCACACCCTTTACTTCATCATTCCACCAATCACTCCTCTTTCCTCCTGCCCCCACCCTCCTATAACCACAAACTTCTGCCCCACATTCTAATACTGCATTTTTAAAACTATTCCAACCCTCTTCAACCCCCCCACTACTCATCTTTGCACTAGCCCACCTTTCTGCCAATAGTCGCTTATATCTCGCCCGAACTTCCTCCTCCCTTAGTTTATACACTTTCACCTCCCTCTTACTTGTTGTTGCCAAATTCCTCTTTTCCCATCTACCTCTTACTCTAACTGTAGCTACAACTAAATAATGATCTGACATATCAGTTGCCCCTCTATAAACATGTACATCCTGGAGCTTACCCATCAACCTTTTATCCACCAATACATAATCTAACAAACTACTTTCATTACGTGCTACATCATACCTTGTATATTTATTTATCCTCTTTTTCATAAAATATGTATTACTTATTACCAAATTTCTTTCTACACATAGCTCAATTAAATGCTCCCCATTTACATTTACCCCTGGCACCCCAAATTTACCTACTACTCCCTCCATAACATTTTTACCCACTTTAGCATTGAAATCCCCAACCACCATTACTTTCACACTTGATTCAAAACTCCCCACGCATTCACTCAACATTTCCCAGAATCTCTCTCTCTCCTCTACACTTCTTTCTTCTCCAGGTGCATACACGCTTACTATAACCCACTTTTCACATCCAATCTTTATTTTACTCCACATAATCCTTGAATTTATGCATTTGTAGTCCCTCTTTTCCTGCCATAGCTTATCCTTCAACATTATTGCTACTCCTTCTTTAGCTCTATATTTTATATTCTATATTTTAGCTCATATTTTATGAAAAAGAGGATAAATAAGTATACAAGAAATGTTATAGTACGTAATGAAAGTACATAGTTTGTTAGATTATGTATTGGTGGATAAAAGGCTGATGGGTAGGCTTCAGGATGTACATGTTTATAGAGGGGCAATGGATATATTGGATCATTATCTAGTTGTAGCTACAGTTAGAGTAAGAGGTAGATGGAACAAAAGGAAAATGGCAACAATAAGTAAGAGAGAGGTGAAAGTTTATGAACTAAGGGAGGAGGAAGTTAGGGCGAGATATAAGCAACTATTGGCAGAAAGGTGAGCTAGTGCACGTGTAGGTAGTGGAGGGGTTTGAAGAGGGATGGGATAGTTTTAAAAATGTAATATAAGAATGTGGGGCAGAAGTTTGTGGCTATATGAGGGTAGGTGCAGGAGGAAAGAGGAGTGATTGGTGAAATGATGAGGTAAAGGGTGAGATAAAAGGAAAAAAGGTAGCTTAGGAAAGCTTTTTACAAAGCAGAAGTGATATAAGAAGGGCATAGTACATGGAGAGTAAAAGAAAAGTGAAGAGAGTGGTGAGAGTGCACAAAAGGAGAGCAAATGATACAGTAGGAGAGGCACTGTTAAGAAATTTTGCTGAAAATAAGAAAAAACTTTGGAGATAAACAAGTTAAGAAAGCCTAAGGAACGAATGGATTTGTCAGTTAAAAACAGAGTAGGGGAGTTAGCAGATGGGGAGCTAGAGGTATTGGGTAGATGGCAGGAATATTTTGATGAACTTTAAAATGTTGAAGAAAGGGAGGCAGTAATTTCATGCACTGGCCAGGGAGGTATAACATCTTTTAGGAGTGAAGAGCAGGATGTGAATATGGGGGGTACATAATATATACCTGGAAGGTACTCGAGGGCTTGGTCCCAAATCTGCACACTGCCATAACAACATACTGGAGTGAGATATATGGTAGGAAGTGTAAAATAAACCCAGTGAAGAGCAAGGGTGTGGTGGGGACAATAAGGGAACACTGTATCAACATCCAGGGTCCCAGACTATTCAACACCTTACCAGAAGATATCAGAAACAGAGCTGGAACCAGTGCAGAAGCCTTCAAGAGGAAACTGGACAAGTATCTTCACCAGGTGCCAGATCAACCATGCTGTGATGGATATGTGGGGCAGTGGGCTCCAGCAGCAACAGCCTGGTTGACCAGGCAAGCACCAGATGAGCCTGGCCCATGGCCGGGCTCAGAGAGTAGATAAACATTCGAAACTCTTCAAAGGTATATCAAAGGTAGGTGTGTGAGGCATTACATAGAATGAAAGGGGGTAAAGCAGCTGAAACTGACGGG